CCACATCCCCACTCCCACCCCCTCAACTGTGCCATTACCAACAAAACAGGGAATCAACCCTGGTTCAGTAAAGATTGCAGGAGGCATTCTAGAAGCTGTACCAGGCATATGTAAAAATGAGCTGTCAATCTGGTGAATCTACAAAACAGGACAACTTGCATGCCAAACAACATAAACAACAAGTGATGGACAGGGCAGAACGGTTGAACAACCAACACATCAGATCTGAACTCAGCAGTCCTGCCACATCTGATCACAAATGGCGGTGGTCAATGAAACAACTCAATGAACAGAGCGTCCACAAATATCCCCTCCAAATGATGGAGTAGGCCTGCACATTAGTGCAGAAAGATAATGCTGAAATATTTGCAACAATCTTCAGACAGAACTGCTGAATGGATGATCGATTTCAGCCTCCTCCAGAAGAGCCCAGCATCCCAAATGCCAGTTTTCAGTCAACTTGATTCACTCAATCTGATTTCAAGAAATGGCTGAAAGTAATGAGCTCTGATAACATAATGCGAATAAGGCTGGCTAGGCCACCATTGGTAGCAATTTCTAATTGTGCTTGAGAGGCTTCAAACTAGCAGTAGATAAGCGAGATGGTGCTTTGAGATGGTGGCACTCACACTCCAATTTTTTTGAATCTTTAAAACAAATAGATTCAACAGCCAGGTCATTACAGTGCTGAGGCAGAGTTTGTATGGGGCAACATTGTGTTAGCCAAGGCACCTCCAAATGTCCAATCATCCCACTGAGTGCTGCTGGGGAATCGTCCCTTCAGACAGCGAACTGGCATCCAGTACCCATGGGAATCTGAAGACTGACCAAAAAAGTCCAGCTTGTTCTTAATGGGCTGGCTATCTTGCCAGCCTCAATTCCACCTCAGCAGAAATAGTCCATTCGCAGGATGAGCTGGCTGGTCTAGTTTTAGCTCCTGGCCACCTCTAACTTCATCCCTGATGGGGCCAAAAATACAGTTCTAGATTATGGATCAGCCTGCTGTTTTATCCACTTAATAACTGATATGACCAAAGGCATTGCAATTTGGCATGCTGCATAAAATCATGCCTTCAAATACGTATTCGCACCAACTCTTGCTTATGTGATCCAAAACATGTAGAAACATTCCCCATGCAGATGGCCTTAAGGCCCTCCGCTTCTTCCTGTCCCGCAGGCCCGACCAGTCCCCCTCCACTGACACCCTCATCCGCTTAGCCGAACTCGTCCTCACACTCAACAACTTCTCTTTCAATTCCTCCCACTTCCTACAGACAAAGGGGGTAGCCATGGGTACCCGCATGGGCCCAAGCTACGCCTGCCTCTTTGTAGGTTACGTGGAACAATCCCTCTTCCGTACCTA